CTCAAGAAAGTGGCGGAGATGGGGATAGTAGCGTGGAGCTTCCTGAGTTCAAAATCCCTATGTCTTTTTCTCAGCATTTTGCTTCAACAAGCACGCCACCATTTGAAAAGACAGAAGGAATAAACAGTAGCAAAGATGTTCATTCAGACAGTAAAAGAATAAGTAATTTGAGAGTATCGTCATCTTTAGCATCGTCAAGTGGGACCGATAATGCTCCAAATGAATTAAATGAAGGAAAAAGAGACAGTGTTGAAGACCTTAGTTTTGTTGACAGAATGTCATGTGGCATTAGTGGGCATCAGCAGTGGGAACCTCCTTTGTCATTCAGGGATGGTGCTGGTATAGAATCATCTAGCAGTCAAGATATTGCTGTGGAGCACACTGATTTTTCATCAGAAAACCTCGGATTAGATGAGGGAAACGCAAACACAGGTGCAATAAGTGAATCACAAACACTTGAGGTTGAAATGGAAACAATAGGGCATAACATTGAGGAAACATGTGAAGAGAAATTAGATGTTTTAATGGCCCAATCTGAGATTCAATCTTCAAAAATAAAATTAGCTCAATTAGAAWCTCGCATTGGTCTTGGAGGCATTAGCGAAAGAACTATTGAACCAGAGGTGATACCGATGGAAATTCGTTTTGAAGAATGCAGTAGTGCAACAGAACATGAAATAGATAATGTGACAGAAGCTCAACGAAATGGAGAAAAATCAAATGATCAACTACTTTCTACTAGTGCATTAGATTACSTGACAGATGATAACGCGGATATCGTGACAAAAATACAGTCAGATACACTAGATTGTGTGACAAAGGAAGAATCGGTATTGGATGGTATGAATCATGTGACAGAAGACAAGTTGAATATCGTGACAAATGAACAGTTAGATACATTAGATTACGTGACAGATGATAACGTGAATATCGTGACAAAAGTACAATCAGATACGCCAGATGATGTGACAAAGGAAGAAACAGTGCTGGATGATGTGAGTGATGTAACAGAAGAAAAGATGGATGTTTTGACAAACGTACAGTTAGATACATTAGATTATGTGACAATGGAAGGAGCAGTGCTGGATAATGCGAATGATGATGTGACAGAAGACAAGTTCAATGTCGAGACAAAAGTACAGTCAGATTCATCCGTGTTGGATGATGTGACCAATGTCGTGACAACAGAAAAATCAGATGAAGAGAAGCAGCTCATGATGAAAGTGGACATGGTAGCCAAAGAACATGTAGATGTAACAGATTTAGATTCAACACTTTCTGAAGTGAAAGAAGACAACATGAATGTTGTGATAGAGCTTCAATCAGATGTACCAAATGAAGTGAAACAACTGGATATTGCAATGGAAGATGATGTGAAAGAAAGAGAAGTTGACGTCAAGACAAATGCACAAGAAAAAACAGTAATTGTTGATGTAAGAGCTCAAGATATAACTCAAGTGCTCTGTCATGATGTTGAACCCGTCAAGTTTGAAACAAAGGACGATGTGACAGAAGACAAAATAAATGACGTGACAAAAGAAAAGTCAATGGAAGTTTCCAAGGAACTGTATTGTGTGACAGACGACAAGRTGGATGGTGTGACAAAAGAACGGACAGAGAAAATAGAACAATCGGTAGGATTAGATGATGGCGTGTCAAAAGTTGAGTCAGAACCAATGCAACAATCAGCTCTTAAAGATACGCCAGACAAGGTGGCTGGCGTGACAAAAGTACAATCAGAGACAATAGAACAATCAATAGGATCTGGTAATGTGACATCGCATTGTTTTAAAGATAAAAGTGCAACTTTGTCACAATCAGAAATAACGGATAATCCAACAGCTGTGCAATTGAAGTCCGAAAACAATGAATTGGTGAGCACCATAGAAGTTCTTCCCACAGGGATTGAAAAGACAGAGATGACACAACAACGAATACTAGAGGACAATGTAAGTGTAGTCGATCAAGAAGCCAAGAGCGTAACATCCGAACAGCTGAAAATATCAGATAATGTAGCTCAGGAAGAAATAGCAGTTGTTAAAGTTAATGCAGTCGAGATTGTACCTTGCTTATCCGAAATTCATTCGGGTATAACRAACCGGTTGCCATCAGATTCTAACTCGGAAAATTGCCTGGTTCCACAAGCATGTGAAGGTTCCAGAGCTGAAGATGACATTAAAAGTGTTATGGAAACAACTCTTGAAGCAGAAGTCGAATGTGAGATGGTAAAACTAACTAAAATAAGCTGTGAAACGTCTGATGGGAATCTGCAAACCACGCAAGAGGAGACAGGTGCTCTCTCTAAAAGGAACATTCAACAGGATGCAAAAGAAAGTCAGCGTAAWRTAAAGGAAGCTGAATGTGAGAAGCAAAATAAAGTAGACAAGGAGGAACCGAATGGTAGTACTACACCTCTGCCTGCTTCTGCCATAACAAAAGGTTTGTACATATTCTTTGTATCTTTTTATATTCATACCCAATCTGTCCCAGGTCTGATTGGCTACTCTGCTAAGATATCAGCATGGTTAACCGTTGGATGTCCAGTAAATGGAGTAAAATGAAATAGCAACTACACTTAGACTTATGGCTCAAAATGCATTAGTTGTGGATGTAATAAAACAACCAATTATCCTCTTAACGTTTAGCATGCTATACAGAAGTATGTAAAATGGGGCTGGTAATGGGAAGGGTGGATAAGATTAYCCAATGRATAAAGTCATCAACAACGTAGATTTTGTATGGATTTTATCGGTTGATAGGGCTATTAACCCTATAAACAATCCTTGACGGTTAATGCTAATGTTACCATGTCTAGTTCAATATAGTTTAAACGGTAACTTTTGCTTGTAATAAATATCTACTCTATGTTATTTGTGATAACTGATATAGCTACAAACGTTGACAAAATCCTTGGAACATTCCAGCGAACTTCCTCATTTAAGGCAACACTCGCAGACGATTTCATCCCCTCTAAACCCCTACCCCCTCTAAATCCCTAAATGCAATGCATGTTACCATAGTACACAACCGTCCAAAGCAAGACCCAACATTGATGAAAGGGGGCTAAGGGGGAGGACTGTGAAATAATTAAGGRTAAAAATGTTAGGCTGGAGTCAAATTATAATTCTATGGTCCAAGGTTTTTTGACAACGATTGTAGCACGATCACTTCATCCCACACGAACCCACACGACTTCTGGTACAAATATCCTCAGTTGAAACCAATTGCAGCTATAAGCGGACWAGCATTCACGTAGGAAAAGATAGCAAGCCATACAGAAAGGAAGAAACAAGGATCCATAATGTCCTCTTTCTTGTCTGCTGAGTGCTTGAAGACGGAGCAACCAATTACCTGGCTCTTTCATGAACAATCCTAAATTTACAAAAGTCAATGATCAAATGCTTTGTTTGAAACTTWCCWCGCTTTTGTATGGYGGCTTTGCTGTACCAAATATTAGRACTTATCGAGGTTGARRACAGGGAAAGACAAAAAACTGGTTTGTTTTCTACGAGTGATTCATTAAATGCACTAAGYTSTTTTTGTTTTTCAGATAAAACCRCGAATATTGACAGCGAAAAGGAAGAAGGAGAAATAACGTCAAGTGATGAAGAGGGAGAAATTGTTTCACATCAAAAATGCTCAGAAGCTAAAACTTTGAACAACGCAAACACACAGTCSAAGACATTGTCTGTTTGGGACAGGCTTGGCAGTGGAAAAASATTTTCWGTGGAAACGTCACATGGGAGGCATAAGGTATCACATGACAGTAARARGTCAAGTGAGATTGACAGRAAACGAAAGTTAGGGAAAGGTCCTAGTAGAAGGGAGTTAAAGGATGAAGACAAAAGACAAATGAGAATAAGTCACTCTGAAAAGACATCAAGCGACGAGRTGATGCGCAAAGGAAACGAAATAAAGAGGAGAGATAAGATCAAAAGTCACGACGCGACTGAAAGAAGAAGGCGTTCTTCCATCGAGTCAGGTAAAGAGGTGAAAACTCAGCAAAAGCGTGAGGCACATAAGGAAGTTCGAAAAGAAGAAAAACGAAGCCACGGAGCGCAAAGGACAGCAGAAAAGTCAAAAGAAAAGTCTACACAAAACAAGCCATTTGTCAACAAGGAGAAAGGAACGACTTGTACAACAGAAAAAGTCGGAAAAGTAGAAAAAGAAAAAGAAAGACATAAAACACAAAGAACGGTATCAGGAAAGTCAAATGAAAAGTCGCCTCACAAAAGTTCATCTACTAAAAGTGAAAGGACATCAACATATCGASTTGGAAAAGAAGAAAAAGGAAGCGAAAGAGAACAAAGAAAGGTATCAGGAAAGTCATCCGAAAAGTCAAGAGAAAAGGCGTCCCTCGAGAAATCTTCACACGAAAAGTCTGCGATCAAGAGTGAAAGCACTTCTGCGGGTGCAGCAAAGGAGGTTATAAAAGAAGAAAAAGAAACCCATGAAACACAAATAAAAAAATCAAGGAAGTCGTCGTCTGGTAACAAAAGTGAAAGACCATCTGATGGTACAACGAAGAATACAAGAAAAGAAGAAATAGAAAAACATGGAATACAGAGAAAAAACCTCGAGAAATYCACAGAAAATGTGCCTCGTGAAAAGCCAGCTAAAAGCGAGAGAAGTGAGAGGAAAATGCAGCAATCACAAAGGAAAACTGGAGAAACAACAAGTTTGTCCATGACAAGTACAAGCAAAAAGCCTCCAAGTGTGGAGAAAACAGAACGAAGAAGAGAAAAAGTTATTACAAACGTGAATGCGCCAGAAAATGAAGGCACGACAGCTGACAATGGTCTTAGAGTGGATTCACATGACAATTCAAGAGAAAAAAGACAACAGAAAAACAATGATAATAGAACTTTTGGTAAAACAACCGGAAAGCAAAATATTGACATAAAATCTGATAAACAGCAAAAGGAAAGTAGTGGACAGAGTGGAAGATCCAGTACTCGTAGATCCACTGAGGAGTCTGYAAGGCAYAAGGACATTGGCAGCGCAAGAGTTTCTGCTGAACAGGCAACCTCACAAGAAGGTGGTGGACGGCAAAGAAAAGGAACAAGCKCTTCAAAACATTTTGAGAGAACAATTGCCCAGAAAGWTGACAAAAAGCCTGAAAAACGTCACAAACAAGAAGAAACAAAACGAGAAAAAGATGTTAAAGGAARGAGAGAGCGCCAAACTGTACAACCAAGTCAGAACGCAACATCAGGAAAAGATWGTAGTTTTCTGTCAAGACAGTCTTCAAAAGAGGTAGAATTATCAGATAAACTTAGCAACACAAAGTCAGGAAATATAGAGTCGAGGCCTTCCAGAAAAGGTGAGACAAGAAAAAGTACCAAAAACGTAAATGATAAAGGTGATTCAGTTTCAACAACTTCAGCAACAACAACTCCAATTCATACCTCGAATGATTTGAGCGAAAATAGTTCCTCACGTATGACCTYAAATGTTAAAACTGAGGTTAAAAAAGTTGGTTTATTACCAACACCAGTGTTAAATCCAAAGTCGAAAGATCATTCTACAACCTTCGCAGCAACTCGTGTTTCAGAGGCTAAAGATAAACGAGGCAACCGCAATGTCTTTTCCACAACAATGGAGAAGCGGAAGCAGGCTAGTGGAAAGAAAAGAAAGTTTTTGCAAGAAAGTAATCATGAAAGAATGAAAAAAAGACAGAAATTTACACAAGGGTSTTCACTCTCAAGAATACCTCTCCCAGAAAAAACGTACTCCTCTAAACCAAAATTTCAACATACAGAGACYAGGSAAGAGCGAAAAACAGTTGAGGAACGAGAAGGCACTACTAAAGTTGCGGCATCTACCAATCGTATTGAGATTGGCAAAGGSAGATTTTTGACGTTSAAACGACGTCATATTAATCAGCTGTTCATTCGAGGTGACAATGTTGTCATGATTTCATATGCTACGTAAAAATAGTAGATTGAAGAAATGCAAAGGCGCAAAACGTTAACCCATGAAAAAGATGAATTAAATTGCCAAAACTTATTGGAAATTCCATTCTTTCATTATGAGCTGTGCATGTTGATCTAATTTATATTATATTTATTTAGCCATATATAAAGATTGACTTGTCCACGCTACAAAAGTCATCCACACAACTTTGTATCAGGGGTAGGAGAGCAAACAAAACATTTATTTTTCGGAAGATTGTACGCATTTCCCTTGGTCCGTTTGCTTTCATATGGGAAATTGCAGTCATGGAGAAGTTGTCATGTCAGGTTTTCTTGACTATGAAAATTGTCAAAAATGCGATGGTCAACGAGGAAATGTGTAAAAAAAACCATATATTCATGTAAGAGCAATCTTTCTTCGTAAAAATATGTTTTCAAAGAAACGTTGCTCGTTATGCTAAAGAAGCAAGGGACGTCTGGGGACTACTGGGTCGTGCAGATAAAATTTAGGTCAACGTTGTGCAAAAACATTTGAAGATAACCAGTCTTGGTCACTGAGTTATATTTGATTTATATCTTGGCTTCTTGAGTTTCACTGCGAATTTTCCTTAAAAATGGCAGCAGATCTAAAAACAAAAACAAGGTATAAGCTAAATATAATCGTTGTGATGAACGAGTAATAACTCTTGTTCCATCAAAGGAGCTTCATGTTCAAGACACGTTTACTCAGGAACTTGGTTCAAGTACTAGGGTATCGCAGTAGTGTCCGGATTTTCGCCTGGGTAAAAAAAATACAGTGTGCGGCACACAGTAATTGTAAGTCGACTAAAAACGTGCTCTGTTAAAATTATAAACAAACAAACAAACAAGAAACAAGTGTTAACAGTGCCTTCGCATACAGATTCATGGTTTTACCTGTACCACCAGTGCCTGAGAACTTTTGATTGGTGTTTTTAGGAAACTTATTTGCCTGACAGATGATGAACCTGAAATCAATCAAAATATGACTGATGACAATGTGCACAAACGGAAAAGTGTTYGGTTGTCTTCTAATGTAATATTTGAAAGTGATTTTTGGTAATCCAACATCTATCATTTGACGCACCTCACTATCACCCTCACGTGTGCATTTCTGAAGTCGTGCAACTCTTCGACACATTGGTTGTATGCCTCTGTCAAAAGTGAGTTATTTTTCTGCAAAACTAAAAGGTGATGAACTAGATGAGCACTGTGAGCAAGAAACAGTTGTCATAAAGGGAGAAAAAATTACACCACACAAGGATAGTAAACGTGCTAACCCTTCTGCCGTTTGCCTAGTTCTTTGCATTGGGAAACTAAATTATGAAGGACTAACGTGCGAAACATCACGAGTAAGCTTTCTCCATAAGTGGCACATACTTATACGTTTATTTATCCTACCGTATGCTTTTACTGATGGTCCATTCGCTATAGCCTCGATAAATGCTCTGTGCTTGGGTGGAATGTGGAGCCTTATTTTGTCAAGATAATGCTCTTCACCTATAACAGCGATTTGAATACGGGAAGGAAAGGAAGTCAATAGAATGGAATTATATAGCTTTATTAAAAGTCAGTTACCATTCTGAGTTKGATGTGGAATTCGTAGAAATACATCGAGAACGTGAAAAACGGCGGACTGTGATCCGCTTGCTCCAAAAAACTGCAAAAAAGTGGCTTCAGTACAATCCAAAAACGTTATGGGTTTTTCTACATTATCAATAATCCAGAATTTACTGCTTTGCATGCAACTCACTGCCAACATTGATAAATGGTATGATGTTTTTGAAATAATTATCTTTTCACTTGGACTAGTTCGTCCATGTTTTGCCAACTCTTTATCTGATATAATTTTCTCCTACAAACTTTGTCATTGAGCATCATTTTTCTGTCAAAATGATTTGGATTCGCGTATGATCATTGTCGCTACTGCATGGATCATAATTTCCTGACAAACCTTCAAGGGTTTAGTGTCCACACCTTCATATATCAAACCATCAACCAAAGGGGAACCCTTGTGTCCCCATSTGAAATAGGAAACGATGTATTAATGATTCAATTAAACAGTTGTTGGAGCAGAGAATGCATTGTCGAAATGGTATTGAACTAATCCATCAATGATGAAATGATGGTTTGAACTGCGATGAATATGTAAGGAATTGTCTCCTTCACGGTTCCCTGCGCCATCTTGAAAGGTAGCCGTGCCTTTACTTCCAAGCGAGACAACCGGTGAGCTTGTTATGATAGTGCGCTTTCCATTTTGTCAGAACTGGCTGGCCAGACCCAGAGAAAATGTCATTATATATCATTCCCATTTAGTTAGGAAATTCAAATTTTCAAATTCTATCCATTATTCTACAGAAAACCTCGATATGACTGAAAAATGTTGACAAAAAGCATTATATACCTCTAAATAKAGTGGACTGGCCGGCCAGTTCTGCCTAAATGGAAAGCACCCATAGATACCTGTGAATAATTGTCTGTAGGTGTGAAAGAATTGCACGCTCAACGGTCGTCTCGCTTCGATGCAAAGGCAAGACTACCTTACAAGATGTCGCAGGTAACCGTGAAGAAGACTATTATGATCGTCGCGCAGTGAAATAGTAATCCATCAATACAGGCATCAATGTGAGCGAGCTAACTGATAATTAGCAAATAGAACACGAGGTCGAGTGGAGAATGAAAGAGTTGACAGTAAAAGTATAGTGCAAATTTGACCAAATTCATACACAGAACTATTTACAATACTCGGCATGTTTTCGACTATTTTTGCTTCATTCAATGCGACCATGGTCTATCATGAATATGCCATAGTTTATTAGCCAATCAGAATGCTGAATTTTTGATAGCCTGTAGTTTGTTGGATTACTAAAAAGAAATTATACCCATTTAGGAAAGGACGTACGACGCAGTAAAACTCCTTCGGATCACAAACATCTGAATAAAATTAAGAAAAATGGTTTTAGTGTGGCTTAACATAATCTGAATGAGTTCAAAAAGGTTACATCATCGAAGGTAAGGCCGAAAGCGAAAGTGGGAAGGCAGATATAAGCAAAAAATATTCTGTGTACAACAGTGTTTTCAAGTGCAATTATGACCAGATTTACTAAAAAATACCAATGAATCACTTTGCTGCATAAAAAATCTCCTCTGCGGCCTTTGCTTCGATGATGTCGTTTCTTTGAACCCGACAACGATTTTTCAATTAGCTCCATWCAAATGCACAGCCTTTTGCAAGCTAGAACGTTAATCTAAGTAAAGCTGGAACTGGCGTTGCTATTTGAAAAGGGCTGACCATTTGGTTTGTTGGGCAAGAGTGATCCTGCGATGAGTAGAGCCTTTTGTTSAAAAATCCTGGAGGGTCTTTTAATAACAATTACATTAGCCACATAAACTATTGTTTACCGTTTATTTTTAGAAACACCGACGTGATGTTACGAATGATATTCGTCAAAACTTTCAGCACGTCCAACAGTTGATTGACATTATCATCGAGAACAGCCTACAAATTGTGAATCAGTAGATAAAATAAAAACACTGAAAAAGATATACCAAATGATATGTCAAATTAAAAAATGTTACCTGTCCTGCATTAACCAAAGCCTGTAAAAGAGAGACATGCATTATTATTAAAATCAATGAACTGTATGAAACATAATGGAGAAACCTCGCGAGGAAGTGCGTTCAGCAAGTGGACGGCATGTAATAGATGGATGGATAAAGAGGAACTACATACTGTATCAATGTAACACTCTGGTTAGTTGCAAAACCCCCCAGAGAGACCTGTACTCATCAAAGGTGCGGTGTTCCTCGTAGGAAATTCTGAAAATGATCCCTAAAAGGGACCTGTATTGTGAGATGATGGGCGTGGAAGTGCTGAAATTTAATTTCAACAGGTTAACTATGTATTTTACAATTCACTTCTGATTTCACCTCTGGTCCTCCTTTTCCGAACTCCAGTTCCATTTCGAGAGGAACTTTGTAAAATCCTTCTTCAGTTTTTGTTCCAGTTAAGGTGTTGATGATTTGAATATCGCTTTAGACAAAAATGGATGAATATAAGGTCATAACGTGCATGGCTTTGATTTTCAAATTTACCCACCATCTAACTGGCTCACCACATCTTTCGTTCACAAACCTGTCATTAGAGCCAATTTTCCTCCAGTTACAGTTAACCAGTATGTGATATGTCATCACAGGGGGGARATCTGCAAAATTGAAGCTATTTAACACTGGAAAAAATCGCGCGCTTTAAAGGTTGTAAATTTGATGTAAATATGATGTAAGTGTCCAAAATTCTGTAAATTGACTGGAAATCATTTACATCAAATTTACAGAATTTTGGACATTTACATCATATTTACATCAAATTTGCAACCTTTAAGGCGCGGGTTTTTTTCCAGTGTAAAATGGACTTCATCTTAGATGTTTGTGAACTAACACCCAAAGTCTGAAGAACTAGCGATTTGGGTGTTGTTAATGTTTTTGTTTTAATGTTTTTTATTCGACAACTATTACGTTTAAATCGTATAAGTAACAATGCGCGCAAAAAGCAGGCAAACCTTCTATTGTTCTGCGGCAATTGCAACTTCCCCATATACGAATGTCTTGGTTTTCACACTGATTATATATAAACCTATGGGTAACACATTTTTAAAATAAAATGTGGATAAACTCTGTTTTGAAACAAAGTTTCTTTTGTATTAAAAGATCTTGTCCAATCACAAGCACTCAAAACAATAGCCAAAAGATGCTTCTAATTTGCTATGTTCCCCACATAGATTGCTATTAATTTTAAAGTTAAAGGAAAGCTTTTATGAAGTTAGAATCAGATATTAAATAAAATGTTAAAAAATGCGATTACTTTTGAAATTATGTCAGATTTTAATCTTTTAACCAACGAGATGGATGGATTATACAATACACAATTAGCACCTTCATGCATTCCATTGCCGTTTGCTTGTCTGCTTCTTACTCGGACCATTACATAAAATGCAAGTTACTCTTGTACCTTACCTAAACGTTTAGAGACRGCAAACAATGGGACAGAAATATTTTTGGGCAAAACCTTAAAAGATAAGAGACTGCAACAGATCAAACTACTGGTACTTCTATGTTTTATGCCTTTCATTTTAAATTATTCCTAAATTCGAGAAYTTTCTGATGACAATACCTTTGGAGATCCATTGTCTCCATGACACCAGACATACGAGTGTGCTAAATTTGTGAGTACCAAGTGTGCCCTGTAGTATTCTTCTTCATTGGAAAGTAAACTGTGGTCCAGGWATAAAAGCTGCAAAGTTAGCGAAAACGTTTRTCTCAGTAAATTCAATACGTAGATTGGCTAAGCGAGATTCGAGGTCTGTTCCTCCAATCCAATCACTTGRATTCCACCGAGTAGACTATCTCTWTGCCGTTAGACAGGCTCTSCCTCACCCTCTATTTAAATATTGTAATTTCTGACACATTTTTGGSCACTTTATCGATCTCTSTCGTGATAATCACACTTTCTATATAAAAAAGCCKTTGCATTGGGAATTGTTGAGTTGAATGGAAAGAAGAGATGAAATTGAAAACTTGTCTYTCGGTCTTTTAAATTTGACTGTTTCGCGAGAGATGAAAGGCGGCTGTGCTCGCAGGCTGTTAAGCGACATGCWMTTGTATGTTAAACCATTTCAACATAAAAAAATATAATATATTGTTAATTAGATATAGTTTCTCAGTAAAGAATTGTGTGCAGCCAACCTTGTGAACTGCATCGCGAATCGTTCCATCTTTTACCATTTGTGGAATATCATCACAGATTTTCTCCCATGGATTGAAATATTCTGGTAATCTCTCCTGTCAATTTAAGAAAGTTAGAATATAGTTCGACGGTGGCATTTGCTTTGGGCCTTGGGGTAMGTTRAAAAATCATGGGCTGGTTAAAAACCATATAAAATCGCTCGGTCACTTYATCATCTTACCAATGGTTTTTCTGGAACGAATCCCGTGGATGGAGAAATGTCATAKTCTTCCAATCGAATTCGCCTTGTGACCATGTTTTGTAGGAAACAAATTTCCCTTTCGGTATGTTGGCCTCGCTCTAAATGACGCTCTTTAAAAYAAAAARCAAAGAAAAAAGGAAATCGAAGAGCAAGACCATATAGTCCGCACACCAACTTCTGCCGCACACTAAATATTACACACTAAACATCCTACTGACATCTATGGTAACTTAGGGAATGTGCAATATTATCAGGAGGACCCAGGAGGGGGGTTGAGAATGTAGAGGTGGAGGGGGGGGGGAATCTAATTTTATGTGCTTAAAGAGGGGGCAACGTCTAAAATTAACTGGAAAAATCAACACTTATTGAGGTGAAAGTTGTCAAGGAAAGCGTGCCACGATTTGCGACAACCCTTTATTCACGAACAATAAATAAAGAAATTCACGGGATTTATCATCATTTGCAGCAGATTAAAAAGAAAGTGCAGCCTGCCAGGAGTATAATCACGGTGGTGGATATGAAAATAAGTTCGTTGTACATTTGTTTTGCAACCATTCCTTGGTATTGTCTTGCGATGCCGTTGCTGTCTTTGTTTTTATATGGGTATGCAATATCAGGCTCTGCATGCAACACCAAGAAACTCGCATGCATAAAGGTTTCCTTGTCTTGCACGAAACACCAAGAGTTTTTCTTGGCGAACAATCTGTTTTCAAACTTCTGAGTTATGTTTCGTATAGAAACCATGTTTTTCAAAAAGCATAAAGTTCACTTTTAGAATCACCGCCACCATTTTCGTCCAGTTCGAGTAAGCGTCATTTCGAGTTTCATCCGSTCCTGCTGAAAGGAAAGGTGTACCTTTTTAATGCTTTCTAACCACGCTTCCTCTTTGTCTCTCACTGTTAGGATGACTTTGCTGTCAGAAATTACAGGGTTCGTACAGATTTGTTCATACAAAATTCAAGGACTTTTCAAGGACTTTTTAAGGATTAATTTTCAATATTCAAGGACTCCAATTACAAAGAGAAAAATACAGACTAACACTGCAGTCAAATTTTTTAAGAACTTTTTCTTTTGGAGAAKATTTCCCTCAATCTCTATTAATTTTGTACAACAGTACAGCAAGTCTCGCAAAAAGGATTGAATACTTGTCATTTTGCTTTAGAGCTTGGCTAAATTGATCCCCAAAACATTACTTTAGAACAACCAAGACTGATTMAAGGACTAAATTATCATTTTCAAGGACCTTTCCTCCAAATTTAAGGACTTTTCAAGGAAAATTTGCAGTCAAGGACKTTTCAAGGACCTAGCTCAAAAATCAAGGACTTTTCAAGACTGTRCGAACCCTGRGAAAAGTATGTCATTATTTCTTTCCAAAAATAACAAGCAGGAGAAGCAACATCGCGTCGACATAGGAGTACATAGCTTTAAAGTCCGGCATTTTCTTTTYGAACAATGCTTGATTTAAATTCGTCGAGATGTAAGCCCCAGTGCTGGTCAACTAACATCGTGAACATTGAATCCTAGTATCCGTTTAGAGCTAAACCAAGAGATTTGGTGCCAGTTTTTGGCAGCCCAGCGCATATTACTTTCATATTTCGACAGTTAAAGAAAATATGAAAAAGAAAATGAATCAGCCGCGGTTCGAGATATACAAAATTATATTACTGTTGTCAGATGGAGCATAACAACCAAGCCGAAGGTCCATGGTTGTTTGGCGTAGCGAAACATGACAATRGTTACCGCGGCAACTTATTCTCTTGTAATTCCTTTTTTTTTAAATCCTTTAATATTTTGTATTTACAGTACATTTGATCAAAGCTATTATTTGTGAAGTGTTTAATACTGTTAGGACTGGTCAAAAAGTGCTTAGCATGATTTCACAAGAGTTGTATCATGAAGCKCCTCGAAATATATACATTTTGCAATGGCATATTAATGAAAAAAGCAAAAAAAATAATAAAATAAAATAAAACAGGTACGATAGAATAAGTATATAAATCAAAAAAAGAAATATTAGACATACCCAAGAGAAAATGAGGTAAGAGAAGGAATCCCTGGTACCCATCATATCAGCCCTTCGTTCTATTTTTAGACAAAGAGCTATTTTTAGTTTGTTACCGCGCGACCACTACTCGTTTATCGGAATTTGATATCGGCTATTTTTCATCGCCAAAAACTGAATGTCAAATACTGTTCGAGAAAAGCTACGAAATTCGCTTTTAAAAAGGAAACTTCTTGAAGAAGAAAAGGAATCTTCTTCAAAACATAGTTAGTAACTATGTTCAAAACAAAGAAAACTTGAAAGTGTCTTCAACTTCAGACGTATCAGTATCTTCGTGACCCTGCCCGACACTTTCACCATTTATAAACCAAAACCACTGCTTTCTCCTTCTTCCTCTGCATTTACCGCTTAATATCAAATCGTTTTCGTTCACAAAAGTAAGTCTCTCTCTCGACCTCCATTTTGAATTATTTTCTCGCGTCTTACCACAAACGGCTGAGCGACCTCGCCTCATACGATCTGACCAATCATGTTCCATTTCTAAAAATAGCTCTTTTTCTAAAAATAGAACGGTTAAGAACGCAGTACCAGGGATTCCTTCTCTTACCTCATTTTCTCTTGACATACCAAATTATAATGATGGGAAAACAAACATGCAATTACAATATGCAGGAGGAGCCGACGGAGTCTGTTCTTCTAAATAACTGTTCTTGTACGAATTTTTTCATGGGAAAGGGATTTTGAGCTACATGAATTTATGTCAAGCTTAAAAAGCTGGTTGACTCTCGACTTCCAACATAAGCACTTTTTGCAAACCTCTTATTGAAAGAACAACAATAATAATAAACAGAATATTAGTATTTACGTCACTTAGACGTTTGAAAGCAAAGTCGTTTGATACCAATAGAGAGTTTAAGCATGACGCCTAACGGCAAACGGCTAACGGCAGAGCTGAACCAATGACTTAAGAATTTTGTGCCCGATCTTATGCTTTTGGTAGTCATTGGAGAGAGCGGCTTTTCACGATTATGGCAAACTCAAAATAACCCACTCTCGCGTTGAAACTGCAACGTTAAACTCTAAAAAAGCARATCACGTGATCTTTTCTGCCGTTTGCCGTGAACGTCATGCTAAACCTCTCTAATAATACTTTGTCAAGAAAAAAAGRAACACATCTTACCTGCCAAGCGACTGTGAGGACAAAGAATAAAAAAAGGTACAACATTAAATACGGTTAAATTTTAATAAATATGCGAAATTCCTTTTTTTTTTCTATTTTTTTTTTAAATACATCTTTTCAGTTGCACTTAGGCCTCGATAGCAAGTTAATTATTCTTTTAAATTTGACAAATGAGACTATTCATATAAATGTTTGCATTGCTCACATTCCTACACTAATTCAAAAGAATATTTAACACGCTGTAGAGGTCTAATCGCAACCAGAAGTACATAACCATTATGTTATGTACTTCTGTCGCAACTGAAAAGGTGTATTGTTTAAGTTTTTAGTATTACCATAATGGTGGACTATTGCAAATCCTACATTCTGTGCCTACGTAACTCGGGGAACATTGGCGCCCACCTATTGACGTCACGGTTGGAGTGAAAAAAAAAAACAACAACAACATCGATTTGACCCAAAATATTTCTAAAGAAAATCAAAGTTGGCGCTTAGTTTCGCTAGTCGAAAACTATTGAAAATAGACTCTATCGCAAATTTAATTCAAGAAGTAAGTTAGTGCGAATTCTTTAGCAATAAAAACATTTTGCCATTTATAATATTTCATTCACATTCATTTGTACAACTAATTTGGTAATACTAAAACAATTAGACTTCCCGGCCTCGTGGACTACTTAGTATGTACGTATTCCTATCGYCCTCGAGGTCTAGTTGTTAATTAAGTAGATTGATTCTTAAAGTTTCACKTTTTCAGTTTCACTGCGAATTCTCTTTAAAAATGGCAACAAATCTGCAAAAAGAGAAAAAACAAAATTAGAAATGATATGGATTAAGAGCATKAGATCGAAACTATTCCCTGTTGAATGAATCTCCCACACGATYAACTACAGGAAACCATGACAGCAGCAACCCTCCTCAKTWWTWAWTKWKSCMMMAGRARSCC